GCTGCGACGACGACACGTCGCTCCCCGCCTCGCTGTCCGCGTCGGAGAGAGCAGCGCGCGCGCCGTCCGCAGAGCCCCTCGCGGAGCCGCTCTCCTACGCGGTGGTGAAGGGCGCGTAGCCTCGGGGCGGGGAGACGGTGTCGTGTGTCGTGCGGTGTAGGCGGAGCACCGCGTGGAGACGAGGGGGTGTGAATACAGTTACCACAGCGGACTACGGGGGAAGAGAGCGGAGCACGGTGTCCTCTCTACTTGGAAGGCAAGAGTCCGGGGCGGAGGCAGCAAGGACGGAGGCGGCGAGGGCGGAGGCAGCGAAAGCGGAGGCAGCGAGGGTGGAGGCAGGAGGGCGGAGGCATACAGTCCCGGGGTTCCGCTTCTAGGGGCGTGGCTCTCCTCGCCGTCAGAGCTGTACGGCTCGGTCGACGCTGGCTCGCTCCGCCGCCGCGCCGCCTCCCGCCGCGCCGCCGCGCCGCGCCAGAGCCGCTGCACCTCCAGCGCAGGCGGCGTGTGCTTGAGCGCACTCGCCGCCACCTTTTCGGCCTGCTTGAGGGCGAGCCGCTCGCGGAGGGCGTCCGCCTTAGCCTTTCGGTCCGCGGCGAGCTTTGCCCCTGTTGCGGGCGCCGGGCGGCGGGGGCCTTTCTTGCTTTCAAAAAAAAAATCATCGCTCTCGGGAAACCGGCCCCCGGGAGGGCCCCCCCCGGAAAAAACAGAACCCCGCCCCTTTCTAGGGCTTTTCCCCTTTTGCCGGGCTCTTTTGTTTCCGCCTTGAGACGCCGGGCCTCCTTGCGCGCGTCCTCCTCCTCGGCCTCCTGCTCCTGCAGCGCCGCGAGCGCGCGGTTCCGCCGCCGATCGTCCGCGCTCTCCACCGCCGCCGCCCGCTCCCCGCCGCCGCCCGCGCCGCCGCCGCCGCCCGCCTCTGCCGCCGCCGCAACCTCCGTGTGGAAGCGGACGACCTCGGTGGGCGCGGCGCGGGTCTTATGACCGACGCCGGCGGAGCTCTCGCTTTTCTGTGTCACGCACTTGAAGAACCCCGCGCCGCACTGGCACTTGCACTGTGTACGACAAAGGCGGTCGTAGTTGGACGTCCACAGTGTACTGCAGATTTCGTCGTCGCTCATGTCCTTAACCTGTCTGGTGAGCCAGAGGTGCACGCTGTGGCGCATCGAGCCGACGAGCGCCTGCTCGCACTTGTCGAAGCAGGCCGCGTGCATCCCCGCCCCGAGAAACGTGCACGCAGGATTCGTGCACGTGATCTTTACACGCTCGCCGGTGTCGGGTTTGGCGCCAGATTGAACGTAGCAATCAGGATGACAGCAGGGCGCGGGGCCGCCGGGAGGAGGCGCCCCCGCCGACTTTTGACGCCCTCGATTCAACATGCTGGGAATTACTGGGGCTTGCAAGTTGGACCGCGAGTCAGAGGTGAGACCGCCCTCGCGCCTCGTCTTCGAGTTTTACCGCCCGTCCTCTGTGAACAGACCAGCGACAGCGCCAGGGGAGGTATTTTCTTTCTCAATAACAAGGCTGTGAAATCTTCTACCTCGCTCTATAAATGAGTGTGTAGGTATGTTGTTGGCAAAACAACACAGAGCTCACACAGAATCACACCGTGGGAGGAAAGCGGCGAGTCGCAATTCCTGGGGTCCTGGTGAATGAGAGAGCAGCTCTACAGCGCTCCACATTTCTAAGAGCATTCGATGTCGGATGACTACCCCACAAACCCGTGTCCCGAATCCAGCCAGCGTTGTCACGTGGCAATGGCGTCCTCCGCCCGCAGGCGTTGTCGGGCAATGGCGTCCGGCGGTGACGGGGACGAGCCAGTGCCGGTCGCGGCTGGCTTCGAGGCGCCCATCTTTGGCGTGCGCGTCCTCGGACAGGTCACCACGCTGGCGCTCGAGGGCGAGGACGGCCCTCTATCGCTCGGTGAGGTCGGCATCGCGAGCGACCACGCAGGCGCCTGGTACGTCTCGACCAAGGACTCGCTGCTGCACGTCTCGGCGGCCGGGCGCGTGCGCCGCGTAGCAGCCCTGCCGGCAAGTGACGATCCCTACACCGCTGCTGCCAGCCCAAACGGGAGCGCAGCGTTTGTGGCGGACTACAGCAACCACAAGATCCGGCGGGTGGAGGTGGCGACTGGCGTTGTGACCACGCTCGCGGGCAGCGGCGAGGGTGGCTACGCGGATGGTGTGGGCGTCGCAGCGCGGTTCTGCTACCCAGGTGGCATCTCCATCAGCCCAGACGGCGGCGCGCTGTATGTGGAGGACTCCAGCAACCACAAGATCCGGCGGGTTGAGGTGGCGACTGGCGCGGTGACGACGCTCGCGGGCAGCGGCGAGGCAGGCGACACGGATGGTGTGGGCGACGCGGCGGAGTTCTACTACCCAGGTGGCATCTGCATCAGCCCAGACGGCGGCGTGCTGTTTGTGGCGGACGTCGACAACCACAAGATCCGGCGGGTGGAGGTGGCGACGGGCGCTGTGACCACTCTCGCGGGCAGCGGCACCGTGGGAAGCGCTGACGGCGTGGGCGACGCGGCGGAGTTTGACAGCCCCTACGGAGTCGCCATCAGCCCAGACGGCGGCGCTGTGTTTGTGGCGGACCATGACAACCACAAGATCCGGCGGGTGGAGGTGGCGACGGGAGAGGTGACGACGATCGCGGGCAGTGGCACAGAGGGCAGCGCTGATGGCGTGGGCGACGCGGCGGAGTTCGAAGGCCCAGTCGAAGTCGCCATCAGCCCGGACGGCAGCACGCTGTTGGTCGGTTCGTACGGCCGCCTCTGCCAGGTCTGCGTGGCGGCGCCTCCTCCGCCTCCCTCCTTTGCCCCGATCGTCGTTCCGCCTTCGACCATCCTGGCTGACCTCGCAACGACGCGGGGCGACGCCTCCCTGCCAGAGGGGAAGGTCACCTTTCCTGGTCCGCGACGACCCGGGAGCGCATCGAGTCCGTGAGCCAAGAACTTGCTTCTGCTCCCGGTCCCCCGGTCTTTTCGGGACCATGTTTGGC